TTAAAAATAAAAAATTCTCATTATTAAAAACTACCCGTCCTAGATATCCGGGAAAGTCTCCATGAGCTCGAGCATGGGTAGTATAAAATTTTTGGGTTTCACGTAGTTTTTCGGCAAATCCGGTTTCGGCGTTTTGTCGACCAGTTTACGGCATTTGTCGGACTCCTCGAAGTACTCGCCGCACACCAGGGATATGGATGAGCCCATCACCTTTAGGACAAACTTCTCGGCCCAGTCCACGGTATGGGCCGTACAGCCCGGGGTATCCTCCGTGGTATCCCTCAGACAAATACGGTATGCGTTTGAATGGCTATTAAAAAATTATTTTAAAATTTAATTTTTTTTCATATCTGCAGCCATTATTAAAATAATTATAACTATTTATAAATTATTATAATCTAAATAACTGTAACTTTGTTTTGATAATAATAATTATTATTAAACTAAATTATTATTATTATTATTTATTATAATATTATTATTATTATAACTATTATTATTTTGCCCTAAAGTTGTATAACTAAGCTTAATGAAACAAAATTGAAATACACCAAAATCTATTAAAAATTCACCAAGATATCATCAAATTCGTGCGTTTTATTTTTATAATTGTTTATAAATATGGTAAATGTATTTTGTCACATTTTAAATTATCTCGCTACCAATAATTTTATTAACTGTAACTAATAAATTATATTAAAAAAAATTTATACTTTAATATAAGTATTCACTTTTAAAATTTATTTTTCATATTTGTTTAATGAAACTATTTTTAGTATATTAAATTTATTAAGTAATATTTAATTTTAAATGATCTAGTCAAACAAAATATGTCATACATACCAACAGGTCATATAAATGCGATCCTTAAGCTCCGCCGACTTAACCCCCAATAGTGAGTCAATAAGCTTTTTATTGCACCCCTGGATGCCATCCCTGGCCTTATTAGCGCAACCACCCGCCGCCATAAGCTCCCTGGCCTGCCTACTAATCTTACCAGGCTTACAGGTCGAGTCGGTTTGCTTTTTCAGAGAGTACAAAATCACCTTGGCTACTGTTTTCGAGAATTGACCCACGCAATTTTTAAAATAACCCAGTACAAAGGGGAAATTTTTGCCATACAGGTTACAATACTCCCGGAGTTGGGCAGCCGTTTCCGGGACCTGTTGTGCCGTTCCCACTGGGAATACCACGGCTAACAAGCCCTCAATCTTTTGGTTAGTGCGCGTGGAGTTACAGCGTACCGGTGCCGCCCCCTTGTATATGTCCTCAGCATTATTAACAGCGCTGTAGGTGCCGGTGACTATTTATAATTAATTAATTTTTAATTATAATTAATTTTTAAAATAAGTTTAATATGCTCAGGGTTATATAATGCGGTAAATACTAAGTTTTGTTATTTGTTTATGTATATTTGATAATAAATTATATTTAAAAATTAAAATACTATTTACGCTATACACATTTAAAGTCAGTATTTTAAAATATTGTAGCACTGAATATAAATAATTATATTTGAAAATTAAAATAAATATATTGTTTTAATCCGTAATTAAATAAAAGTTTCACAAAACTATTTATGTTTTGAAACATTTGTAAAAACATAAATAATATTAAACGTTTTTAATACTAAAATTATAATACTGTAGTAACATACATAAAAAATTATCAATAAGGGTGTCAAATATTATCAGATAATCATTAATCAATTTACATTTACATACCCAATGCTATTAAAACAACTAGTTTAAAAATAACCATTTCAGACGACATTTTCATGTTTTTAAATATTTATAAATTTACATTGATTTGAAAGTTTTAAAATAATGTTTGAAATGTGCTAAACAAAAGCAAATTTGTTTGATTTTTTAAAAAATTCAAAAACAAGTTTTAGCTTAATAAACAAAAACTTGAAATATCTATAAGACAGGTAGTTCACTTTTTAAGTGCTTTTATTTATTTATTTTCATTTTTTAAATATTAAACTATGGTAAAAAATAATAATTTGATAAAAATATTTATATAATTATATTATAAATAGATACAATAATTTTATGTGTATCAGGCTTAATTTTATTTGTTACAATTACAATAAAATTACTAATAAAATACTGAGGATTTATTGTACGTAGATAATAAACTTTTTATTTAATGAATAATTATTAATATCTTACAAAAATTATCAGGTCAATGTTAAACATATTTTCATATAATATCAAAAATGATTTTATGATACCTATAATCAAGTTCAATTATAATTTTTTTCACCTTAAATTAGAGGTGAATTTTATTTTTAAAATATTAAAAATAGTAATTTTAAAGTATCGTGACAATATTTGCCTCAATATATTATTACTATGATATATATACAGTAAATATTATATTAATTAACAAATAATTATGAAATTTTAAGATTTATTATATAATGTAAATAACTTACACATCTCAAATAGACATACAAGGTCAAATAAAAAAAATATTTGGCATAAGTTTGTAAACATTTTTAAAAAATGAACATGTTTGTTAATTTAAACAATAATGTCCAAATAATATTATAATAATAGATAAAATTAAGTAATATATATTTTTAGACAAAATGTAAAATAATAGACAATTAATAATTAATAAAATATTATTCAATAAACACTTATAAATGCATAAAAATTCCTAAATTATATGCAGTTTTACAAAAAAAACTCAAATATTTACCTCTAATTGAAGGTTAAGTTAAAAACATTTTTTATATAATTTTTATGCTGATCATAAATAAACATAAATTATTTTTAGAAAATATAGTTGCTAATTAATTATATTGACTAGTCCGTTTTTGTTATTATAATAAAACTATTATTAGTTTTGTCACAGAAATACGATAATTAATTCAATGAAAACTAAATTATAAGTACTTTTTGGGTATATTTTTTGGTTAAGTCCTATAATTAGCTTTTATGTAGTATTTTGCGCTTAAAATCAATAATTATTTTTTTGCACTTAAAAACACAACTTTCCCTTCAAGTGCTAAATTAAACACTTTATGACAGAAAATATTTTTGTGAATATTTTTGGGAAACTATTTCTTAGCAAAAAAGTCTTAAAATATTTTTATAAATATATAATATATTATATTAAGATTCAGATTCACATTATAAGTAATATTAAACTATTTATATTGAAATATTTTTGATGCAAATTATGTCTAAATATATCAGTTTGCAAATTGTTTTAATATATGTGGTACTAGTAGGTAAGTGTGACCTTAAAATAAATTTTTAAATATTCCTAGATAAATATAATACATTAAAAACATTTTAACTAATTTAAAAGTAATAAACACAAAAAATAGTATGATACTATATTATTTTATTTTAAAATGTTTTAGCAATATAAATTATAAAATATTGTACTGTATTATGCAAGTGTTAATAATGGAAATGCCAATTATTAAATTATATAACATTTTTAGTATTATTAAATAAACTAATAAATATAATGAACAGTTTGATATACCGTACTTGATAAATTAAAGTTTAATTATTAAACTAAATAAAAATACAAATAAAATCATGTTATTTTTTAAAATCCGACAATTTGATGCCACTTTTAAATACTAAAGCTACCTCTCACAAATATTTTAATAAAAATATTATTAAATTACAGTTCACAGCACCTTTACCCAACAAACAACAAGTGCTAAATCAAACACCACCAACAAGGTCATCAACAAAGGTCGCAGTAGTAAACCCTCATTTTTTGACCAGAGCATTTTAGGGAAATCGCAGTATGTCACCTGTAACCAAAAAACCTACGATCGCCTGGATACATTTGTACACAAATTAGTAGGGGCCCGGTTCCCGACCACGGGGCGGGAATTACGCCAATTTTGTAACCAAGGTATCAAAGGGGCAGGGTTTGTTTTGGGCTTTGCCAAACATTGCCTCACTGAGTTTGCACAAAAAGCGATCCAGGTGGTTTTCCACCCGGTTACCAATGAGATAGGGCTGATATGTAGGTCGGGGCGTATGTCGCATAAGGCCAAGGAGATTTTAAAAGCAGCAAGGTGCGGTAATGCAGCTAGACCAGGGTTGCAAATGTGCTATGATAAATTTATCGAAAGGCAACTGGCTATTAGTAACGTGACCAATACCAAACGTATGATCCCCATGCTATGTTGGTAAGTTGTGAGTTTAGCTAGTATAATATTTAGTAAAATTTGCAATTTTTAAAGATAAATTAATTGTAATTCCTTGTTAACACAATTAAATTGACGAAAAATGACTATTATCAGGGTATTTGTCTATTTGATCCAAAGTTATATCTTACAATAATTTTGTTAATTTATTAACTATTTTCTAGTGTTGGTTTACAGTTTGTAATTTTAAATAATTTAGTGTGAATTTAATTAAACATGATTGGTACTATTTTAAAATTAGTTAAATAATTTATACTATTTGAAAATAATTACCTTAATAATAATAATTACCTTAGTAACTTGATTCCCGATAGTAATTCATGCTATTTAAATTATGTAACAAAATCGAAAAATTTAAACTTATTATTTAATAAAGTATATTTTATTAATGGGCAGTGAATTCAATAAATTACGTGAATGTTTCAAACACGAGGCCGAGGAGGTCAAGATCTGTACCCGACGTACCATAGACTTCGTGGAACGGTATGCCCTCGAGATGTTCGGCGAGATACTCAACATCATGTGCTACGAGTACCAGGACTGTATGTATAGCCCACTAAACTGATCCTGATAATTATTTAATTAAACCGCGATACTCAATTTAATATTTATGTGCAGCATGTTATTTTTAAAAATTAATTTAAAAAATTATTTATATTTAAATAGCGAGCGACAGGTGCGATAAAGTAGTTGCCGAGATACCGGTGCTGAATTTTGATGGCGTTAAAAAACCTCGCTCATTCATACCGCCAATGCTGGACATTTTGAAAATTATTGGTGATGATTTTTAAAATATTGTATTTTTAATTTTATGTTTAATTAGCTATGTTTATTAAAATAATTAAATATGGCAAGGTACACGGTATGCTATGATTTTTATTTTTATTAATGTGTATAAATTACTTGGAGTTAAATCACATATAATTATTATATGAAATAAATATTTATTCAATTTAAAAAAAGTTTCTTGTACTTTGTAGTCCAACGATATTATTTAAAATAATTTTGTCTGACTAAATTTTTGGGTAATGTTTTATTGTTTGTATTCTAATTGAGTATGAGTTTAGTTAAACTTAATTATAATAATAACACTTTTAAATAAGTTAACTTGATAGGTATACTAGCCTATATTAAATCTAAATCAACGAATCGCCAGTATTTTGGCGAAACTTTTATTTCTAAATAACAAACTTGTAGACAAAATTAAATTATTTAGAAAAATTGGAAAATTTTAATAAATCTTATTATAACGTAATAGTGTCTGAGACAATACAATATTGCCGGGCATCATAGCGGTCAGTGCCCGCACAAACACCTTGGTATCAGCGCTAATATCGTCATCACTATAGACATCATCGCTGATAGCCTTAAACTCGCGCTCAATATCTCCGTTAATACCAATCATTTTGCTGATAGCCTCGGGTATAGCCATACCCTCCCGGACCACATAATAGGCCACCGAATTGGTGACCAGACCCTCGACACAACCGTTTTGATCGCGGAGTTCCTTCTCGAACGAGTAGACGTCGTTCATGAATACCACGCTTTTGTTGCACAGATCCCGGAGCTGTCGCACCCGGGGGTCATCCCAGTCCCCGTCCGGTACGCACACCTCTACCGAGTACTCGATCAGCGAGATAAACGTGTCCATCGAGCCGGTGGCCATACGAAGCTAATGGTAATTATACACATGAGTCCAGGGTATAGGCAGTGTATTAAATTTTGTATATTCACACAAATCTTGAAAATTATAAAATCTATTTTTAAAAATGATGTGGTTGATTATAAAAATTATAATTATCACTTAAATGATATACAATTAACACAATTACAGTTGGAAATGTAGTTTCTAGGGTTTAATCTGCACCGACCCATCCAATTAAGCATTGTTAAAATATAACCTACTTTTGTCACGCCATCAAAATCCAGGCTCTCACTATTCATCACCAACTCGTTCTCCCGGTGCTGTCCATTGAGATATAGGCGCCAACTCGCGAGGAACCGGCGCCTCTGCGCCCGATTCATGGCGTTCAGCACCGTCTCGACCACCGCATAGACGCACAGCACGTATGGCCGCCAACCGCTCATACCTATGAATGGCTTATCCCGGGACTCACCGTCCGGCACATACATACTCTGCAGCCTTTCCACTGCCTCGAGGTACTGGCGATGGACAGGTATGGCGTCCGACAAGTTCTCACCAAACTCTCCCTGAGGGGTATCATTATGATCGTCCCATACAAATACGTACCCGACCCATTTAACTATGTTCTCATACCTGTCCATTGACTTTGTGAACGGGTAGAAGCAATAGGTGTATGTGCTCATGGCCTGGCTCACTTTACTCCAGTAGTGCTCCTTAGGCAACATGGAGTAGCCGTACCACCAGTCCATGATGTCCGCCATTTTTTGCTTGTCATTCATGAATGGGTTAATGTGGGCAGGAAATAGGCACTGGTGGGCGGGTATGGGGTATTTTCGGTACTTGTTATGATGTTCCCCTGTAGATTGTTCATGGTCATCGTCGCACTTTGACATTGTTGGCATTATTAAGCTATAAAGCAGACTCCTCAAAGATAGGCTCCTTGGAGCCTAATTCTTACACGTTTTTAATATCCTTCAACTGTTTGGCTCACAAATGTAGTAAACATTAGTGTGAGTGAGAGTTATAAAATATTAATTTGAATTA